CTCAGTTTCTTAATTTAAAAGTAAATATTAAAAAACAGATAACATTGATTTTTGTGTGTCGCGTGATATGTTGAATGCAGCACTGGTTCAGATTAGATGTTTGTGAAGTCAGAATACTAAGTCTATAGTTTTGTATGAAATAGAAACACAAATTACTGATATTAACAAGCTAGAATATAAAATAAGAACATCTTATCTTTTTTATTTGCTAAGATATTGCTCATGTAATAAATCAAACACAGTAGCACCCAACCCCCCTCTTTCCATTTTTGGAAATGCTCCCTTATATACATTTACTTCTATATATTACATGAATAACCAATCGGAAGCTAAGAATGTCCCCCTACTGGCTTTCTCAGCCATTTTAATGGGTTCGATGCAATATCTTTCTTTTGAACCAATATTTCAAAGAGGTATGGTGTTTTTAGTCTGCACGAAATTTCATATTTTTTTAGACTCAAATACATCTTAAGTACTAAGCTTGATAAATTATAGTGGAATTCTGTGGTATTGATGTAGTAATTTATAATTTTTTAGTTGTTCAAATGTACATATAAAAACCTAAAAAAATTATTTTCTTTCATATCCTCCATGTGCAAAATTTCTAAAGGCTTAGCAACCTACATCAAGCAGAAACTGAGTACAAAGGTTGTAACTAGAAGAGATAATTGTTTGCTTTACCTCTTTATTTACTGTTCTATGTATTAAGAAAAATAAGTTTAAGAACTTATTTCAAAATAGCAATAATCTATATACATATATAAAAAGAATAATAATTGAAATGTGACTGTATTTTACAAAATACTAGTCTGCTAAAACACACCCAAGACAAGTTATTTGATATGGTAACACGAGTGCATGTGCACCTCAACATTATAACTTCTGTATTGTTAGCGAGGCATGGCTGAAAGGTCAATATACTAAAAATAATAAATATATATATATATATAAATGTACAATGTTATGAGATTTAATGTATTTTATCTGAACATTTATGTTTTTGTGTTATAATTTGTAGTTATTCTAGAACGAAAAAGGCATAATTTATATTCATTTTCTAATTTTTTTAACGTGGTTACGAGATCGGTCAGATCAACCAAACCCATACAGAGATTAATTACTGAAAATAATAGATAAAATATAAAGTTTTTCCCTACAGCTTTATTTCGAGAACTGATGCATGTTTTGAATGTTTCTTCTGAACAGTTTTATTTTAGAAAAATAATTTTTTGTATATATGAAAAGGTGCTGTAGTGTATCTGGTAGCTTGCAGACTCAATCATGATTGAATTATTGAAGACAATGTTGGTTTAAACTTAGGGTTTTATTGTGTCTTAACTTATTTTATCAGTTAAAATGTAGTTTATTTGGAATGTAATAACAAGTAGTACTGCTGTATGATGTGGATCTGTTGTTAGGCAGCAAAATACTGGTAGTTATTGTGTTTTTTATATTTTGTAGCAACTAGCATCTCCCAAGAGTAATGAATGGTCTGTGTTTATGCATACGTTACAAGAGTTACAAAATAATCAAGTGGACCAGGATTTGGATGTCCTTACTTCACTGTCCTCCTCAATATTTTCTTCACCATCTACAGGGATACGTTGAGTGAAATTTGTGCGTCGGCATTCTCAAATGATTCACTTCAAGGAAATTGTTTTGTTGTTTATGATCAATTAATAAGAAAGTAGTTGGAATAACTTGCTAACTGGTGGATTTCATGTCTGCTACACAATACAAGCTGGAAAAATTAAAATTGTTTTGGACTAGTTTTCGAAACAGATTTGTCTTATAGAATCATTTTTCTTGTAAAGTAATATAATTGTGTTTTAAAATGAAAAAACATCCATATTTCTCTTTATTAAGTTCATAAAAAACTTTAATTTGGTTATGTTAATAAAGCTATGTATTGATGAAACATTGTGTTTTCTTACTTGTTTAGAAAGAATAACCATTAACATATCTGACATTTGTTATACTTTATCTTTCAAAAGTTGCCTGAACAGAAGGACACTTGTTTGACCTTGCTGCATGCTTTAATTTGGTTATGTTAATAAAGCTATGCATTGATGAAACATTGTGTTTTCTTACTTTGTTTAGAAAGAATAACCCTTAACATATCTGACATTTGTTATACTTTATCTTTCAAAAGTTGCCTGAACAGAAGGACACTTGTTTGACCTTGCTGCATGCTTCACATGAATTTAGTTGGTTGGAACAGTTTTTATAAAGCATACATATATTAAATTATGCCACAGAAAGCCTCCTATGTGTTAAACTTGCAATGACTAGGAGGTTATTTAATTCTCCAAATGTTTTGCTTCACATGAACACAGTTACATAGGCCTTCATGTTTAATGGGTGCCATCATACTGATGCTCATAAAAACCTGTTAAACGGGTTTTGCAAAGTGTTACTAGAGCCCCCGTCAAGTCTGTCATGACACTCACTGATCATTCAATCAGCTGTTGTTTGTTTACACAGGACAGATTCACAGATAACACTGGTGTTCCGTCTGAGATTGATAGGTGCTCTGTGAAAAAAATCATGATTTT